TATATATATATAATTATTTTTATATTTTTATTTTATATTTATTTAATTATATTTATTTATATGTGTATATATATATATATATTATATGTATATAATATTTTTACATTTTTATTTAATACACACACACAGAATATATATATATAATTACACAAAGAGAATATATATATATATATAATTATTTTTATATTTTTATTTTATATTTATTTAATTTATTTATTTATGTGTGTGTGTGTGTGTATATATATATATAATATTTTTACATTTTTATTTAACACACACACAGAGAATATATATATATATATATAATACACACACACAGGAAAAAAAAAACCCAAAAAAGTGAGAAGTCTCAGAATGGGAGCCTCTTGGCTGGGGAAACTTGGAGTGGGCCAGTTAGCCCGAGTTTGCAAGCGGTGTGAGTGTGTTCCTGGGAGGGAGGGCAGCTGGGGCTGAGGGAGGGGAGTCGAGGAGAGGAGTGGAGACTTGCTGCCTGGGTTCAGACATGCGAAGAGCCCCCGGGTCAGCCTCTAATTAATGATGATGTTGCCTCCTTCTCCCCAGCTGGAAGACTCGCTGCCTCCCAGGGACGAATCTGCCGGCTCTGACAGCTCGATTGAGGGTGATGGATGACTATCTGGAGACCGCAGCACACCGAATATTATTATCATCATCATCGCGGCGGCGTAATTGCTATAATTTACCGAGGCAAGGCTTAGGCTCCGAGAGGACCGAGGGGAAAGCAGCTTCCAGGGAGGAGAGGAGGCCCCGATCCCTGAGAAAGAAGGGGAGCTTTCTCTGGAGTCATAGACCCACGTAATGCAGACCAAACTGCATGATTTGGCAGTAGATCCAGCCTATGCTTACCGTCACAACTGTCCCCCAAGTGTAGTGACATTTAGGAACCTCACCTTTTTTCCTGGCGTATAAAAGCTAGGGGTGTTGTGTGTTTTCCGGGCTGTGTGGCCCGTTTCTAGTAGCATTTTCTCCTGACTTTCCCCTGCATCTTCTTCAGATAATTGTTCGCATATAGAAAATCGGAGGAACGGACAGCGATCTTGGATTAAAGAGGATACATTAACTACCTAAAGCAGAACGGATTGATTCATCCACCTCCCTTGGCACACATCTTGTGCTCTCCTACTGGGTTCTTAATCTGGATCATTGGGGTGAGGATAGGGTACATCCCCCAAGCCCCCTCAGAAGCTCAGGATCCGGATTTGGAGCGTCCTGATTGTTTTAATTCGCTTCACAAGCGTTCAGATGGGCTCTTTTGAGGAGTCCCTTCGACCCAGCAAATGCCTTTCCTTTTCATGCTTCCAAAGCAAGCTTGGCCTCGTTTAGTTTCCAAACTCTTTTCCCTTTTCAATCCAGGGGCCTGCCATCCAAGAAGGAAAAAGGAGAGGAAGGAAGAAAGGAAGGAAAGAATTAAAGAAGGAAAGAAGAAAAGATTGAAGGAAGGGAAAGCAAGAGGGAAGGAAGGAAAGAAGGAAGGAAAGACTGAAGAAAAGAAGGCAAGAACGAAGGAAAGAACGAAGGAAGGAAAGAAGGAAAAAAGGAAAGTAGGAAAGAAGAAGGAAGGAAGGTGGAAGGAAGGAAGGAAGGATGGAAGGAAAGAACAAAGGAAGGAAGGAAAGAAGGACGAAAGAAAGGAAAACAGAAGGAAGAAAAGAAGGAAAGAAGGAAGGATAGAAGGACGGAAGTAAAGAAGATCGAAGGAAGGTGGAAGGAAGATGGAAGGAAAGAAGGAAGAAAGAAGGAAGGAAAGATTGAAGGAAGGAATGCAAAAAGGAAGGAAGGAAAGAACGAAGGAAAGAACGAAGGAAGGAAAAAAGGAAGGAAGGAAGGAAGGAAAGAGAGAAAGAAGGAAAGAAGAAGGAAGGAAGAAGGAAGGAAAGCAAGAAGGAAGGAAAGAAGGAAGGCAAGAAGGACAGAAGGAAAGAAAGATTAAGGAAGGAAGGCAAGAAGGAAGAAAGGAAGGAAAGAAGGAAAGAAGGACGAAAGAAAGGAAGAAGGAAGGAAGGAAAGAAGGACAGAAGGAAAGAAAGATTGAAGGAAGGAAGGCAAGAAGGAAGGAAAGAACGAAGAAAGCAAAGAAGGAAGGAAAGAAAGATTGAAGGAAGGAAGGCAAGACGGAAGAAAGAAGGACGAAAGAAAGGAAGAAGGAAGAAAGAAGGAAAGAAGGAAGGAAAGAAGGAAAGCAAGCACGCACGCACGCAACCAAGCAGGCAGGCAGGCCACCCACCCAAAATAAGCACCCGTTGAGTCTCTTGAGTTTCGACAACCCACCTTTCGGGGCAGAAACTTAAGGGTGAAGATCCCACGGGGTGAGACCCATCCTACGGTGCCTTGCGCCTCGGGCCCGGGGTTTCTTTGCCCCAGCGCGCAGGCGCGGCCTTCTGAGGGGCAACGGGAGCGCGCGCCTTCTCGCCTCTCTAAAGTGGAAACGTCCAAAGGGGAGGGTTAGAGGCAGCAAAGGTGACACAGGTCCAGAATCCTCCTTTGGAAAAACGAAGGCGCGCGCAGAGAGGCTCTTGCTTGGTTGTGAAGCCAGGCAGTTCCTGGCTTCCTTCCCCCTTCTTCCCTCTCTCTGCCACACAAGATGTCATTTTAAATTGGGGCCAAAGGGCCACTGAACTTTAGCCAGCACAATTGGCGTCTCCAAATGTGCCTTGAGCTTCGATCCGAAGCCAGAGGTTCCTCTGAAGCCCCCAAACTCTCTGTCCTATGCTTTTTTCTTATTGGCTTCCCCTACCTTGAGGCAGTTGGGACTCTGGAGAGTCTCCTTGGGCGGATCACACTCTCTCAGCCTCAAGAGGAAGGCAATGACCAACCTCTTCTGAACAGATTTTGCCAAGAAAACCTCAAGGCGAACAACAACACCAATCTCCGTGTATTATATTCTCTCCAGCCAAGACACGCAGTTTTATTCTATTATATTATTATTATTATATTATATTATATTATATTATATTATATTATATTATATTATATTATATTATTATTAAGGAGATAATAATAATAATAAGGAGACTTCCTTATTATTATTATCTCAATAATAATAATAATAATATAAGGAGACTAGAATAAAACTGCAGCTTTCCATAATAATAATAGTAATAATAATAATAATAATAATAATAATAATAATAATAATAATAGAAAGGATATTTCCCCCCTGAGAAAAAGGTTGGGCTGCTTTTCACTCCCACCTAACTTTAGCCCTGGAAATGCAAAGAATTGAACCCCTGTGCCGGCAGGACTGAAGACCGACAGGTTGCAGGAGAGCGTGGATGAGCTCCCTCTGTCAGCTCCAGCTCCTCATCCTGGGACATGAAAGAAGCCTCCCACAATCATGGTAAAACATCAAAAACGTCCGGCCAATGTCCCCTGGGCAACGTCCTCGCAGACGGCCAATTCTCTCACACCAGAAGCGACTTGCAGTTTCTCAAGTCGCTCCTGACACGACAAAAAAAAAGCCCTGGAAAGTTGATTTTACCAGCACTGTTCCAACTGGGGTGTTGTGTGGTTTATGTCGGTGCTCTGGAAGCAATTTTCTCCTGAGTTGTTGTAGCTTTTTCGGGCTGTATGGCTATGTTCCAGAAGCATTCTCTCCTGACGTTTCGCCTCCATCTGTGGCAAGCATCCCCAGAGGTTGTGAGGTTTGTGGAAACTAGTTTGTGGAATCACAGGATTGTGGTAGGTTTTTCGGGCTGTATGGCCATGCTCTAGAAGCATTCTCTTCTGACGTTTCGCCTCAATCTGTGGCAAGCATCCTCAGAGGTGGTGAAATTTGTGGAAACTAGTTTGTGGAATCACTGGGTAGTGGTAGGTTTTTCGGGCTGTATGGCCATGCTCTAGAAGCATTCTCTCCTGACGTTTCGCCTGCATCTGTGGCAAGCATCCTCAGAAGTTGTGAGGTTTGTGGAAACTAGGAAAAGTGGGGTTTATATATCTGTGGAAGATCTAGGGTGGGAGAAAGAACTCTCAGCCTCAGAGGAAGGCACCCTGGACCTTCCACAGATATATAAACCCTGTTTCCACAAACCTCACAACCTCTGAGGATGCAGGCGAAACGTCAGGAGAGAATGCTTCTAAAATATTGACATACAGCCCCCAAAACCTACCATAACCCAGTGATTCCGGCCATGAAAGCCTTCGACAACACATTTTCTCTTAATGTTTGGCCTGCATCTGTGGCTGGCATCTTCAGAGGATCCTAAGTGCCCCCCTTTGCCTCCAGCTTTCCTTGCTTCCCATTTAAGGTCTAGGGAAGAAAAGGGGTCTGCCAACCTAGCAGTTTGAAAACATGCAAATGTGAGTAGATCAATAGGTACCGCTCCAGCGGGAAGGGTAACGGTGCTCCTTGCAGTCATGCCGGCCACAATGACCTTGGAGGTGTCTACGGGCAACGCCGGCTCTTCGGCTTAGAAATGGAGATGAGCACCACACCTCAGAGTCGGGCACCACTGGACTTCATGTCAGGGGGAAACCTTTCCCTTTACCTAATAATTATTACTAATAATAGTGATTAATAATTATTACTAATAAATGGCTAACAATTATTAATACTAATAATTAATTATTATTCATTGTTAATACTAATAATTACTTAATAATATTAATATATATATTATATTTAATATATATATATTATATTTAATATATATTATATTATAATATATAATATATAATATATATTACATATTATAATATAATATAATATATAGTATAATTATATAATATATATTATATATTAATATTATTAATAATAATAATAATAATAATAATAATATAAAAATATTATTATCCCTTTACCTATGCGTTGTTTTGGGTCCTTCCCAAAAGGAGCAGAAACACAACCTTGTTTCATTAACACAGCAAAGAAGACACAAAACACAACCGGGTGTCCCACACATAAGGGGAGAAAATGAATGCCTATCATCCACAACAACAACCCAACGGTGTGGGTCTCTTTCCGCGCCAACCTTCCGCAAACTCACCTTTTAACAGCAGTTTTTGGACATGTATATAAATAATTCTCCTTCCTCTGCTTCTTCTCCTCCTTCTTTCCCCCTTTCCCAGCTCTGTTTCACCACCCAAGTGGTGAGTGGACAATCCTAGCCATTCTCAGCGTTAAATCCGCAAGGAAAGCCCAGAGATTTCCTCGGAACCTTTGCCCGACTCTATATTTCGGAGTAAAGCTGGGCTCTTCTGCTTCCAAGCGGTAGGGGAAGCCCTAGGAACCGAAAATCCTGGAAATGTCCTGCTTGCCCCGAAGAAATTTGAACGCCAGCCTCTGCGGAGTCCCAACTGCAAACCCGCATTGGAGTTTGAGAACAGTTGGAAACAGCCTTGCATAACCCATTGCGTCACACTCCTTTTCCTAGCTGAGCCCCTCTGGGTGAATTCTCCCTCCCCACTCGTGAAAGAGAGATATGACACACCAATCTGATTGGTCCTCTTCCAAAGAATGTTGACCCCCTTCCCCGATGGCCAAGCCTTCCCCAAATGCAAGCAGGACTAATAAAGATGGTCAACATTCATACACCAACATTCATACTTGAGCTCTTTCTCCCACAGATATATAAACCTCACTTGCCTAATTTCCAACAGACCCCTCAACCTCTCTGAGGATGCCTCCCATAAATGCGGGTGGAACGTCAAGGGTCTGGAGAACAAGCCCTATGAGGAGCGGCTTAAAGAGCTGGGCATGGTTTAGCCTGAAGAAGAGAAGGCTGAGAGGAGACATGATGCCTCCCATAGATGCGGGTGAAACGTCAAGGGTCTGGAGAACAAACCCTATGGGGAGCGGCTTAAAGAGCTGGGCATGGTTTAGCCTGAAGAAGAGAAGGCTGAGAGGAGACATGATCGCCATGTATAAATATAAGGTGGGGCAGTGGGTTTAATGCCACTATGGCACATTTGTCTAGGTCAAACTCCATACTGATGTCAGTGCTGAAGATTCTGTGTTGGTCAATTATTATTATTATTATTATTATTATTATTATTATTATTATTATTATTTTATTTGTCCAGTCAGAGCAACCAGTCCAGCAACACCGGAAGCACTCCAAGTGGTCAAGGGACATTTAACCAACTACCAAACTCACAAGTTTTGTATTTTTCTGTTTGTTTGCTTTGTTCTGTTAGAAATGTAATATAATAATAATAATAATAATAATAATAATAATAATAATAATTACAGCACCTGGTAGTACTAACTAGAGTTAAACCCCTGTGTTGGCAGGACTGAAGACTGACAGGTCGCAGGTTCGAATCCAGGGAGAGGCGGATGAGCTCCCTCTGTCAGCACCAGCTCCTCATGTGGTGACATGAGAGAAGTCTCCCACAAGGATGATAAAAACATCAAATCATCCAGGCGTCACCTGGGCAATGTCCTTGCAGGCGGCCAATCCTCTCACACCAGAAGCGACTTGCAGTTTCTCAAGTCGCTCCTGACACGACAAAATATAATACAATACAATACAATACAATACAATACAATATAATATAATATAATATAATATAATAATAAATATATAAAAAACATACAACAACCCAGTGATATGCCTTCGGCATATTATATGTGTGTGTGTGTGTATGTGTGTGTGTGTGTGTGTGTGTGTATATATATATATAAAATTATAAATATATAATATTATATATATAATTATAAATATTTTATATATATATATATATATATATATATACACACACACACACACACACACACACACACACACACACACACATAATGTTGAAGGCTTTCATGGCCGGACTCACTGGGTTGTTGTAGGTTTTTTTCGGGCTTTATGGTCATGTTCTAGTGGCATTCTCTCCTGACGTTTCGCCTGCATCTCTGAGGATGCTTGCCATAGATGCAGGCGAAACGTCAGGAGAGAATGCCTCTAAAACATGGCCATACAGCCCGAAAAAAACCTACAACAACCCATGTATAAATACCTGAGAAGAAGTCAAAGGGAGGAGGGAGCAAGATTGTTTTCTGCTGCCCTGAAGACTAGAACTAGGAACAATGGCTTCAAACTACAAGAAAGGAGATTCCATCTGAACATTAGACTGTGAGAGCTGTTCAGCAGTGGAACTCTCTGCCCCGGAGTGTGGTAAAGGCTCCTTCTTTGAAAGCTTTTAAACAGAGTCTGGATGGCCATCTGTCGGGGGTGCTTTGAATGCAATGTTCCTGCTTCTTGGCAGGGGGTTGGACTGGATGGCCCATGAGGTCTCTTCCAACTCTATGATTCTATGAATGCTCCTGGAACATTGCCATACAGTCCGGAAAACTCACAGCAACCCAACAAACAGGGAGGTGTTGGCCCTGCTGGGGTTTGCTTGCTTGACGTCTCCAAAAACACCCCTTACTAAGACGTAGGCTGAATCTTATAATTAATAATTAATAATAATAATAATAATAATAATAATAATAATAATAAACAACTTTATTTATACCCCGCCCGCAAACATCTATAATGTAGTCCGAACTGTATTTGGCACTGTCCATATAAAAGGCACTATTTGGCAGTGCAGATCACGGCATACTTTCCCCCACAAATTGGTTTCTGAGGTACCAAGAAGTCCAAGTTCAAAGCTATGCGATTTAAAAATATATATATGCAGAGTGCCATGCCAGGTTCTTTCGCAATAATCGAATTTGGGGCAAGTGAGGCCCCTTCTACGCTGCCCTATAAAATCCGGATTATCTGCTTTGATTATTTGCTATATAGCATTGTAGACTCACCTGCACTGATTATATGGCAATGTAAATCCAGGCCCCTTCTACACTGCCCTATAAAATCCGAATTATCTGCTTTGAGCGGGATTTTATAGCAGTGTAGATTCACATACTTTGATTATATGGCCATGTAAATCCAGCCCCCTTCTACGCTGCCCTATAAATTCCGGATTATCTGCTTTGAACGGGATTTTATAGCAGTGTAGACTCACCTGCCTTGATTATATGGCAATGTAAATCCAGGACCCTTCTACACTTTGAGCAGAGTTTCCAGGTTCCCTCTCTGGACAGGTTGTAGGTTCGAGTTCTTCTCATTCGGGCCCTTTCTACACTGCCATATAAAAACCAGATTGTCTGCTTTAAACCTGATTATATCGCAATGTAGACTCGGCTGCTTTGATAATCTGAATTCTCTGCCATATGGAGATCCAGGCTCCTTCTACACTGCCATATAAAATCCAGTTTGTCTGCTTTAAACCTGATTATATGGCAATGTAGACTCGGCTGCTTTGATAATCTGAATTCTCTGCCATATGGAGATCCAGGCCCCTTCTACACTGCCATATGAAATTCAGATTACCTGTTCTGAACTGGACTATATGGCAGTGTAGACTCTTATCATCCAGTTCAAAGTAAATAATACGGATAATATCGCAATATAGATCCAGTTTGAGCAGAGTTTCCAGGTTCCCTCTCTGGACAGGTTGTAGGTTCGAGTTCTTCTCATTTGGGCCCTTTCTACACTGCCATATAAAATCCAGATTGCCTGTTCTGAACTGGACTATATGGCAGTGTAGATTCATCTAATCCAGTTCAAGGCGAATACCTGGATAATATAGTGATATAGTTCCAACCTGAGAGTTTCTGTTCTAAACTGGACTATAGGGCAGTGTAGACTCATCTAATCCAGTTCGAGGCGAATAACCTGGATAATATAGTGATATAGTTCCAGCCCGAGCAGAGTTTCTGTTCTGAACTGGACTATAGGGCAGTGTAGACTCATCTAATCCAGTTTAAGGCAAATAACCTGGATAATATAGTAATATAGTTCCAGTCTGAGCAGAGTTTCCAGGTTCCCTCTCGGGACAGGTTGCAGGTTCGAGTTCTTCTCATTAGGAAAAAGGAGAAAAATGCTTCATACTCAGGCTGGATCAACATTGGCACAGAACTGCGTTGTTTGTCCAGTGCAGACCCACATAAGATACGTTATATGATTCTACACTGACCACATAACGCAGTTGAATGACAACGTGTAAATTCAAGCTGGGGAAGAAACCCTCCTCTGTTGACTTCCTCCCTTCCCAAGAGCGGACTTTTTGCAAGTCAGTTGCATAGGGCTCTTCCATATAACACAGAATATCCGATTTGAACTGGATTATCTGAGTCCACACAGTTTAATGTGGATTCTAGACAGCTGTGTGGAAGGGACCATAGACGAAACCCTCCCAAACTTTTTTTCTCCATTCAGAAAGTCAATATTTCGCCTCTTTAGGACCTTTTCCTCAAGGTAGTTGGGCTCCAAGCGGAAGAAGTTGCTCTTACCTCGAGGTACGGACAAAAGGCAGGCGGCTGAGAGTCGGAAAGGAGTCGAGGAGGTAAGGGATAGAGAGGAAAGGGAAAGGAAGCCAGGGGAGAAGCAGGGACTGAGTTGCCAGGGAGGTGGGCGCCTCTCCCTTTCTCCCTCCCTCCTTGCCGGTTACCTGGCGTCAGTCGGGGCCGCGCCTAGGCTCTCCGGGGCAGCGCGGGCTGGTCTCCATGTTTGCGCCTGGCTCGCACCGGCTGGCTTTGCGGGGCGGAGAGGCGGCGGTGGGAGCAGCAGCAGCGGCGGAGGCAGCGCGCTAATGGAGACATCGCGCGGCGGAGCGGAGCCCAAGCTGGAGTCGCACCGGAGAGGGAGTGAGTGAGCGAGAGAGAGAGACACACACACATACAGAGAGAGAGAGCGCCTCCGGTCCCCAGCCGCCCTCCACCGGAGGAGGAGTGACGTGGGAGGCTCTCCGACACAAGCCCCCCCTTTCCTGCCGCTGCCCTCCTTCCTCTTCTCTCTCCACCTCCTCTTCCCTTCTTCAGCGCAACTTTCCCAACCTGGGTCAGCTCTCCTTCTTCTCCTTTTCCTTCCAGGAGACTCAGAAGGGGCGGATTCTCCCCCGAGTTACAAACATCCCACTTAGGAACGACTCCTAGTTAAGACAACAGCAAGTGAGAGAAATCAACCCCTCCCACGGGAAATCCACGCATAGAATCATAGAATTAAAGAGTTGGAAGAGACCTCCTGGGCCATCCAGTCCAACCCCCTGCCAAGAAGCAGGAATATTGCATTCAAATCACCCCTGATAGATGGTCATCCAGCCTCTGTTTAAAAGCTTCCAAAGAAGGAGCCTCCACCACACTCCTGGGCAGAGAGTTCCACTGCTGAACGGCTCTCACAGTCAGGAAGTTCTTCCTCATGTTCAGATGGAATCTCCTCTCTTGTAGTTTGAAGCCATTGATCCACGTCCTAGTTTCCAGGGAAGCAGAAAACAAGCTTGCTCCCTCCTCCCTGTGGCTTCCTCTCACATATTTATACATGGCTGTCATATCCCCTCTCAGCCTTCTCTTCTTCAGGCTAAACATGCCCAGCTCCTTTAGCCGCTCCTCATAGGGCTTGTTCTCCAGACCCTTTATCATTTTAGTTGCTCTCCTCTGGACACATTCCAGCTTGTCAATATCTCTCTTGAATTGTGGTGCCCAGAATTGGACACAATATTCCAGGTGTGGTCTAACCAAAGCAGAATAGAGGGGTAGCATTACTTCCCTGGA